TGGTTCATCAATTATTCAATTAATTTTGTTCAAGCTGAACAAAATCATAAGGAGATAAAATCTAATTACGCATTTATAATTTAAAGATAAATATAAAAGCGTTTAATATTTCTAGAGGGAATGTAGATAAGTTATCTACATTCGCTCCCAAAACGACGTCGTTTTGGGTTGAAAAATTAAAAAATTATAATGAAAAAGGCTATTATAACCCTGAAATAAATTATAATTACAAAAATATCTTGATTTCTGCCTTAAAACGACCGTAGAAAAAGTGAACCCAATATAAAAATAATAAAACCATTATTACTCATTACTCTTTGTAATACTTATTAGTATAATGTCAGCAACACTAGCTAGTATAAGAATGATAAATTAAAATGAACGGTAAAAACTGTTGGGCTTCCTCCTTCAAAGCTAAGCCCAAACCCATTGAGGCGTTTCTTTAAAATCCTAACCTCTAGATTTCATCTCTTTTATATATTCATTAGTTGTGGGTGGAGGCTAAGTTAGAAGAAGAAGATTATTTGAGAGACTCTTGAGTGACACTTGAGAGATTTTGTGAGTAAAGCTTTGAGCTTTGCATTTGAGAGCACCTCTAGAGAGAGTTTGAGTGAAACATCTCTAGGAAAGTTTGATTATCACTATTGTTGGAGAGGTTGAGTGAACCGCCACTTTGGTGAAGGTTGATTCTTTGTACTCATTATTATCATAGTGGATGTTTGATCTGGACTAGGTCCCGTGAATTTTTACTTCTTCATTAGAGAAGTTTTTTCCACGTTAAAATATGTCGGTGTTCTCTCTCCTTTGTGTTTTTGTTTTTCCGTTGCGCTGCCCGACATGGTGAAGTTCAAGCCGAGTTAAGATTGTCGAGATCTGAGATCCAAAACCTCCGTGAAAAGGCTTATGAGCCGAGTTCCAAACAAAAACTTGCCATAGGCTTTTTCTCATTCTCGCGGTCATAAATGATTATCCTTGTTCAATTGATTTCAATTAGAATCCCGATGTCAATGTAGTTTTTATCTGCGATGACTTGGTTTCTTTTTTTTTTAAGGGGGTGTTTGGTAGAGGTTTTTGGGAGGAATGTCTAGACAACTTGAAATGGATTTTGATCTTGACTATGTTTGGTAGAAGAGTTAACAAAATTTAGATAGGAGACTCCTTTGCCCAGCCAACGCGTTTTGTGTGCAAAATTTATTTGGAAGCACTGTTCCAGACAACCATATTCACGGTGCTATTTTGGGTTTTTGCTGGGGAAAGAAAAAATTGAACGAATTTGCTGACGAAATTGTCCCTGGTTTCAACTCTCTTTCCTCGTAAGTCGTACGTCTTCTTTTAAGGCTGATGTTTTTACTGACGAAATTGTACCTGGTTTCAACGAAATTGAACGAATTTGCTGACAAAAAAGTATGAAGTTATATATGGTTCGATAATTGTTTTATTACTTTAAATTAAAAAATGTACATTTTAAGGCTGATGTTTTTACAAGGTTATTTGTATGCAAACAACAATAACAACTTTCAAATAGGTTATTTCAGTCATTTCAATCCATTTTCCCATCAATCTTTTACCTTCAATCAAACATAGACTCAGAAAATTTAACCCAATTTTTCTGGTAATATTTTTACCTACCAAACAACATTTTTAAATTTTCCTACCAAAATCATTTTTCAACCATATGCCTAGTAGTTGTATTTTCCTGATAAAAAAAAATTTCTCCTCTACCAAACTTCCCTTAAAAGGAAATATTTCATTAGATGGGAATTCTGGCTAATATTATTTGGTGGTAACCTTTTTCATATTCATTTTTTATTTTTGTAATTTTTTTCATAAATTTATCTTGATATTTTAGGTCTGCGATCTCTTAAATAAATTTGAAGAGTTTAACTTTAAATTTCTCTTATATGTATATCATGTTACTGTAAATTTTAATTTTTTAAACTTAAGTATCTTAAATTAGTTGTATATGTTGTGACATTACAAAATTGGAAAACTATTAATATTTATTTATTTTTCATAGACCTATTATTTGTTACTAGAATTATTCATGCACCAGTAAGCTTTTATTTTTATGAATTTCAATTAAGGAAAATAAAAAAATCGAATCCAAATTAATTAAAAAAATGTCCTGTTATATTATCAGGGTTTAAAAGAAAAGGCAATGAAAAGTATCTCTGTTAATACTATATTTATTAAATTAAGGGCTTGTAACTTCTCCATTTACGGGAGAAGTTCTCTCTCTTCCCTCAGATTTAGTAATTACGGAACATAAGGACAGAGAAAGCCAAAAAAATAAAATAAAATCAAGAAGCACAACAATAAAAAAAAAATTCTTCCTAATGTGTGGGACACCACGGGTACACGCAGATTTTGAAGGGTAGGAGATTCCAGATTACTATTCGTTTAAGAATAAAACCCGCCCATCAAAACTATCTGATTGAATCCTGAGAAACAAAGTTGATAGATGTATTATTAGTCTGCGCTTTTTATTAACATCTTCCCCCAACTTTCTAATCATGTTTGTTAGGTACAACATTTTTCTAATCATGTTGCAGCTGCCACTTAGTCACTTACCATCAATAACAGTAATACGATTAAGTGGACAGAACTAGTTGCAACGTTTTTGAGTTTTAAATATGGGTATGATATGTTTATAATTTTATATGTCACAAAGAAATAAAATTATCTTTTATACACCTATAAAGTGGATAGGGTTCATATGAAGAGAATGAAAAAGAGAAGAAGAAGGAATTATAAGTCCAACATACTTTTATGTGTGTGTAAGAAATAATTTTATTTCTTACAATATGAGAAACATTAAACCTTTTTTTCGGTAAATGATACTCTGCAGAAAAAATTTTCTATCACACTCATATAAAAGTGCGTGAGTCTCATTATAAAGAGAAAAGAGAGAAAATGCTTGTGGAATCACTTATGTTTATATGAATATGACGGGAAAAAAAATTTCAGTCATAAAAGCACAAAAATTTCCCCCTTAAATATGCATGTGAAGTAAATTTCATTTTGAGCACCAATTATCTGAATTATGGAAAAAAAATTGAGTCATATTTGGATGATCATCAACTACTTAACTCGGGATTAGTTGTATACATGTGCTAGTTCCTTTTCCCCGCTCATGTGATTATGGAAATATGAAAAAACTTGACTCGTTCCAAAAAAATAATTAGAGTCATAGAATAAAATAAAAAATCTTGTTTCTATTGTGGCTTTATTTTTTAATATACTTTTTGGTTTTTTTGACCATTGTGCCCCTTTATTAATAAATAATTATCACTTTACTGTTGTACTAAAATATATCACTCATCTATCCTTATTTATCTGAATATAAAGGGAGATACCTGGATATATAAGGGAATACCTGGGTATAAAGGAAAATACTCGGGTATAGTTTATGTTATGACGATTCCTTTGAATTATTTATCTGGGTACAGTGGAGATACCTGGATAGTATCCCTTGAATTAGTCAAAAGGTAAGGTTTTTCTTTAAACTACTATGATGTGGTATGTTTTGTTCTAAGTAGCAAGCTTCAATGGTTGTAACATGTGAGTGTATCTCCCATAGGATTTGGAATGTGGGCATGGGACACTTAGCATGTTTGGGGTTACCATGAATCCATGGATAATGAGCTTCAACAAATCTTCAATTTGGCTGTGGAAAATGACATCAATCTCTTTGACACTGCTAATTCTTATGGCACAAGAAGGTTAAATGGGCAAAGCGAGAAGCTTCTCCAGAGATTCATTCGAGAATTTCAATGTTCATCATGCACACTCCTTTCTCAGTTTCATTTAATTGATATAAATTAATGGTAACTTGGTTCTGTCCTTAATTTATGGTTTTGTTGTTTGATTTATGTTTATTTGCAATGTCATGCTTAGCTAGCCTAATTATTTACATAAATCTGTCACTTCAAAGTTTGTTCAATGAGTATCTTGTATGATTTGTAGCAAAAACAGTAGTAAAAGCTTCTCTCCATGCTAGTAGAAACAATGGCTCTTTCATACATCTCTAAATGGGAAAAATCCAGTCTGCGGCGAGCAATATATCCGGGTATCTTCTTATATATCTGAGTAAATAATTATTTATTAATAAAAGGGCACAATTATCAAAAAGCGCACTTCCCATTCATAAATGGGTTATTTGAGTTTTGGCTTTGTTAGTTTTTATTTTGTATACTTAAATCAATAAGCGCCGGTTACCTCTGATCCATGAGTATTATTCAACGTGTATCTGAGCTATAATAATGGACATGATGACTTCTGGAAATAACTGATGGTGTCCAGAGATGTTGAAATGAAAAAAATCTTTGACACATATACCCCCTTACGGTTTAAGTCAATTTAATAGGGGTTAGTTTATTAAACAAAAGAACAAGTAGCGTGGAAAAAACAAAATGACAAAAAAAATAAGAATGAAAAACAGAGGAGGCACCATTGTTGTTAAGGCACCAACGTTTTCGGTACAGATAAAAGTGTCTTTTAGTGCTTAATACGCTTTCAGTTTCAAGCTATTTCTCAATTTTAGGTTCAGACACCGATGATACCACCAACCACCACCCACCACCCACACACACCCCTTCTCTTTTCCTCCTCCCATTAAAGAAGCAAAATACCCAAACTCCAAAATTGAATTAAAAACAAAAAGATCAAAACTTCCGCATAGGAGGAAATGAAGAAACGAAAAAGCTTCTCAATGACACCAAAACTACCGACAAAGATATACAAGCAAAACAGAAAGAAAGAAAAAATTAAAAAGAACAAACACAAATCCAATACCACTTTTGATCTACATTTACATGAAACCCATGTTCAGAACAATTGATCCACAAAATTCAACAGGAGAAGAAAACAAGAAAGCATGATTTAGATAGTTCTCCATGTCTCCATATCTAAAATCTAGCTAGGCAGGTATATATATATATATGCATATATATATATATATATATATATATATATATATATATATATATATATATATAAGTCTAATAATACAATTCTAAACGTTTGTTACATAAAGTACAAGAATACTTCCTTTTGATCTTGAAGCACATGGGCAAGAAGCAAAACCTCCACTGGATCTCAACATCCATGGCTTCAACCTTGCCTCCACAATAAGGACATGATCCTGGGGCTTGTTTCCTACCCAGTTCCTTCTCTCCCTCATCACACACGTACACGAACCACATTTTTCTCCTGCGAGGTTTGGATCCTCTGTTGTTGCTTCTTCTCTTGGACTTCGATTTTGCCTCGGTTTGAGAGTTTGTGCTCGTAGGGTACCCTGTCCTACCTCTAGCAGCAGTGTCTATTGTGAAAGGGCGATGCATTGGGAGTCAAAACAGGCCAATCAGTCATATTTATACAACGCTGTCACTATGGATCTAGGTTGTTTGTTAAAAAGAATATTCTTTTCACTATTTCTCAGTCGTTGTTGTTTTTTTTTTTTTTACTTACTTATTTCATCATTTCGTGGATTTTACTATGGAAAAAGAATAATAATATTGTAAGAAAGTTGTTAGATTATGTTGCAGAGATAGATATTGTGGGATCCACACTTATTTTATTTTTTGAAAACAAATGTGAGTCCCACAATCTCTATCTCTATAACATAATCTAACAACTTTCTTACAACATTATATTTCTATTCTCTTTTACTATTTCATCAACGAAATAGGCTTATCTTTTCATAAACACATTTGCTGCCCGGGAACTTTATGAAAAACGTTATCACTACAAATTCCTCCAATGTTTTATTTTAAAAAAGGAAGGATATATTTAAACTCTAACAAATTTAATTATATACTAAGTGTAGTATATAAAATAATTCATGTACTATTTTTAGTATATAATTAAGTTTGTAAATAAAAAATTTGTAAATATAACATGTTTTATTATTAAATTTTTATACTTTCTATCAAGGTGTATGGATAAATTTAAAATTTTGTGTAAATAAAATTTAATGCTTTTCTTCTAAAAATAAATTACAATAGAATTAAAGGGTTATATAAATGGGTTATATTTATCTCATTCAACATGAGATAAATCACATTCCTACTCACACATAACAAAGGTGGGTCCCACCTTTATTTTTTTTTTCCTCCAATTATTTGTGAGTTCCTCTTATAAATTTGTATCACTAACATAATGTAACGCTCGGCCACTTGCAAGCATCAACGACTATCCTCACACACTAACACGAGAGTTTTCAGCGTGCTTTGTCCTCACTCGCACACTTCTCGGGAAAACTTCTCAGGAGGTCACCCATCCCTGAATTGCTCCAAGTCAAGCACGCTTTAACTGTGGAGTTCTTCCGATCTGGGCTACCGAAAAGTAGATGCATCTTGTTAGTATAGGTAGTACCAATTAATTCTTATAAGCTATCCTCAGTTGTGTTGTCCTATACCAGCACAATCTTTGGAATCCCTCTCTTTCCGGTGTTATTCGATTCATTCATGTACCCCCACCGCTGGAAGCCTGCCAGGAGCCGCTCCTTGTCCGTGCCCTTGCGCACCAGCGATCACTCCCCGCCCTCGTCAGCGCCCGCGATGTTACATGCCCACCGGCTTCCGCCTGGTTCGTCCTCGAACCACACCGTACTGGATGAGAGGCCCTGCTCTGATACCACTTGTAATGCCCGGCCACTTGCAAACATCAACGACTATCCCCACACACTAACACGAGACATTTCAGCGTGCTTTGTCCTCACTCGCACACTTCCCGAAAAAACTTCCCAGGAGGTCACCCATCCCTGAATTGCTCCAAGTCAAGCACGCTTTTAACTGTGGAGTTCTTCCGATCTGGGCTACCGAAAAGTAGATACATCTTGTTAGTATAGGTAGTACCAATTAATTCTTATAAGCTATCCTCAGTTGTGCTGTCCTATATCAGCACAATCTCTGGAATTCCTCTATTTCCGGTGTTATTCGATTCATTCATGTACCCCACCGCTGGAAGCCTGCCAGGAGTCGCTCCTTGTCTGTGCCCTTGCGCACCGGCGATCACTCCCCGCCCTCGTCAGCGCCCGGGATGTTACACATAAGATAACTCTTCTCCAACAACATAAGAAAAATATTTCCCTATATAAATATATGGATAAAAAATCTAGAGTTTAATTACACCGGGAAATTATTATACAAATATCATTTCCAAAAATGAAATTGTTGCTGAAGAGAATGAAATCTCCTGAATTAACACAAACTAGGATAAAATTGGTAACTTTTGAAGAAAAATGTAAAATTTAGGTGAGTTTATTTAAGAAATTAAGTCTTATCTAATGATTTGATAAGAATATTTTCCTTTTATAACAGAATTTAAGTGTTATCTAATGATTTGATAAGAATATGTGAGTTTATTCAAGAAATTTATTTATACAAATATCATTTTCCAAAATGAAATTATCGCTAAAGAGAATGAAATTTCCTGTGGGTACCATGGAACAAACTAGCATGTAAGCAATACAAAAAAATGTCATTTACACTATTTTTTTAAGTTGATTGAATATTTTTAAATTCATCTCAGCTTAGGAACCAAAACTGATCCATATATATTACTAAGTTGACTTGATTCAACACACACACACATAATAGTTATTTTTATATCTTTTTTATAGGGAAATATTAATTATAATAGAATATCTAAATACTTTTTTATACTTTACTGTTTATTTGATCTAATAAACTATAACTACTGAGTGATAGCGCATTTTGTCCCGTAAAGTTATCAGAAGTTTTAAGGTGTACGCTTATTTGAATTATTAACAAAAAAGTTATAATAAATATATATTTTTTAATTATTTACATTTGATTTTGTATAAGGATTTTTTGTGCGGCTTATTTCCACAGGTATCGCTTTCTGTTATAATTATCTATTATAACAACTCTTAGATTATTATTTTTCCTCTTAATTCGAATTAGTCCAGTAAAAACAGCTTTGATTGAGTTGAATTATTTATTCTTATTTTTTTTAATTTTTTTGGTCCTGATACATCTCATTCCAAATTTTAATTTTGGAATTTAAAAAGAAAAATGAAAAATATGGGCGGCGCCTGGTTAGCGGAAAGATGAGAAGCTTACCGTAAAGGTGAAGAATGATTGTTGTTTCTCTAATCTTTCCATGTCAACGACAACAACGTTAGTAGTTAGCACCATGTTTCCATGGACATCATCCTCAACCTATTCATGTTTATCACGTTTTTATAAATGAAACAAAAGAAAGTTGCTTGTGAGTTCCTTCGGTCATATTTGTAACGCTAAAAGTTGAAAAAACAATCAAGTTGGCATTTCACCGAGCTAGTTTTCCATTCAAGCACACAGACAAGGAATGAGGGTACAACTCAGTTTATCCATTTGCTTAAAAAACTAGCTAGCAACGAAAAATTATTAAGTTCACATTTTTTTTTTAAAAAAAAAATGAACTAGAGAAAATGACTTGCATGGAAAGGAGAACTATGATTAGCTCATAAATCATTGTTCTCATTGTTCTCTTAATTTAAAAAGTTCGCATTTGTTAATAGATTTTAAGAAAAATATTTCTGCAATTAATACAGATAAATTATCTGCATTTACTTTCAAAACGACGTTGTTTTGCGATTGAAAAATTAAAAAATTATAATTATGAAGACTATAATAACCCTGAAATAAATTAAAATTATAAAAATATCATGATTTTTGTCTTAAAATAATACGCCGTATTAGGCTTACTGCAGATAACTTATCTGCAGAAAAAAAAACGAATTCTAAATTTTAATTAGTTAATAATCCGATGTGTGTCATAAAGTTAAGATAGCACATACCAATCCATGAGTTTCAAATAAAAAATAAAAAATAAAAAATAAAAAATTTCCCCAATACGAAATAGAAAAATAAAAGGAAAAGAAATAATACGTGTGGGAAAATAAATAAATTTTGCGTCTAAATACATTAGCGCAAAACTTTTCGGAAAAAAGTCTTAACTGGTGATATATTTAACTTGTAGCTATGGCTAACTTGTAGCTATGGCAGCCTGCACCTAACAAACCTGTTTAAATTGTTTTAAAAAAAAGTGTCCCCTTGGCCAAATTGTCTCCTTTGTACCTTAAACAACTCCGTTTATGGGGAGTACTATGCATGTGACTTTGCGTGCTTCAATTGTAATTTTTTTTTTTTAGTACAAGAGGAGGGATTCAATTGTATTTTTCGTTGTTAAATTCATTGAAATTGTTTTTAACGAATCAAATTTTTTTTAATGCAAGTCTATAAAAAAATAATAGAAACGAGATTGGAATGCAAGTCTATAAAAAAATATTTAAATGAGTTATGTTTGTGATCTAGTTTAATATAATTTATTAAGATTCAAATTTGTCTTGTACATAGAAAGACTTGCCAAATCACCCTCACTTGACACTGACACCATCTCATTCAGCATATGGGTTTCACGCCTTTGCCTTGAGTACCAAGCTGATTTGTCCTATGCGCTGATTTCTCGTTTTTAAGAGTAAGAAAATAATCATTATAAATTGATCAATTTCGAATTTGAAGAGCAGCGGTATCTATGGACAGATAACATTGGGCATTAAAAAAAGAAGGAAGGCTCGAAGCCAATTAGGAGGTTGGTGTAGTGGCAATAAAGATGTGAGGGTTTAACCTCCAAGGATAGCTCAGTTAGAAACTGAGTTCTTAATGATTTGTTTGAGTCAAGGGTTCAAATCTTACTTCAAATAAATTTTTAAAAAATCTTTGGGGGTCAGAGAATGCGCCTCCCTTCTTGAATGGAGGATTAGTCTCATCCTTTCTCCGATAGCGAAGTTCAATGCACCCGCTATTCTAATGAGGAGCTAGCCTACAGGGCCGTACCCCGAGGACAAAGTGATCGGAGGAGGTTGAATGAGGATACCTCCAGGTTATACAAAAAAAAAAAGATGTGAGGGTTTCAAAAGTGTCTACTTATCTGGTTTAACTATTTTTATAGAGAGAATTTTTTTTTTTGGTAAATTTTATGGAGAGAATATACCTTTAATAGATAAAGCCTATAACGTCTAGAGTCTATGACGCATTATATGGATCCAGAACAGTTTTTTCATAGCATTATAGTTTGAAAATTCGGACTGCCGAGCTATTGTGCTAGACTCTTTGAACTCAGGACTGTATGGATTTGAGTTGTTCCTCACTGAGTTGGGATTGTTGATATGATGGAGTTAGTCTTATGTCGTGTT